GTTGTATGCTCTAATATAATTTATCATGAAAATAAAAATATCGATTCAATTTTAAATTTAAATTGTTTCTGAATTAAGCCATTTACTGTTATATCACCAACATTTTTAATAAAAAAACTTCTTTAATCAAAGAAGACTCTGAATTAAGAAATCTACAAATATTTTTCCAGTTTTGTTGTCTATACATTTCATTTTGCACTTTCACTAAATAGACTAACAACAATATTAGATTATAATTTTGTTGCTGAGCAACATCAGAGAAAAGTCATTGTTGGAACGTAGTGTTACCAAAGCGCACTGACTTTTCTATATATTATTAATTATTAATCTAACTGATTTTTACCAATAATTATTCTATCAATACGCCACCAATCCATTTTATGGTTCACAAAAGAACTTACTGACGATTGACTGCCTCGACTGCACTTTTCTGCCTCTTTGTTGGTCAAACTTCATTTCGCAAAATTTATTTATTTCAATTAACTATGAAATGTGAGGTTAGGGTATACGATGGGGTGGGGATGGTAGTACTTGGCCCGTCATTTTTGAAGGGCTGTACTTTAGTTCTCATTATAACACGTAGTTTTATGATCACCTATATTTTTTGTTGTTGTTTGTTTTATCTGTTTCTCCAAAACGAACTCGGTTGTATGCTCTAATGCACATTACTGTTATAACTGCCGTCGCATGCTCTAATGCACATCACTGTTATAACTGCCGTTGTATGCTCTAATGCACATCACTGTTATAACTGCAGGTCAAACACGCATTCCACTCCAGATTAGAAAGTGTTCATGTGAAGGAAGGTTCATCTTTTCACTGTAATGTGGCACGTGCAGCACAAACGCCTGAAGCTAGGAAATTTCCTGCACAGCTTCGCAATTACTGTGTTTAAACTTTTAATCTTTAAATGACCCTCACTTTAAATGGTCAGAAACAAGGCCATTTATAGCCACACAGCAAAGAAGTTAGCCAGTGTTTCACCAAGTGCTCATTAGTGTCCTATATTATTATATATTACTTCAAACACATTAAACAAACAGGCTTAAGTTTTGACCTTGTGAAACACTCACAGTCGACACATTAAACATATAGGCTTAGGTACTGACCATATTGAAATACTCACAGTCGACATATTAAACAAACAGGCTTAAGTATTGACCATATTGAACTATTCACAGTCGACATATTAAACAAACAGGCTTAAGTTTTGATCAAGCGAAATACTCACAGTCGACACATTAAACAAACAGGCTTAAGTTTTGATCAAGCGAAATACTCACAGTCGACACATTAAAAAAACAGGCTTAAGTATTGACCATATTGAAATACTCACAGTCGACACATTAAACAAACAGGCTTAAGTATTGACCATATTGAACTATTCACAGTCGACACATTAAACATACAGGCTTGAGTATTGACCTTGTGAAACATTCACAGTCGACATATTAAACAAACAGGCTTAAGTATTGACCTTGTGAAACATTCACAGTCGACACATTAAACAAACAGGCTTAAGTACTGACCTTGTGAAACATTCACAGTCGACACATTAAACAAACAGGCTTAAGTACTGACCATATTGAAATATTCACAGTCGACACATTAAACAAACAGGCTTAAGTATTGACCATATTGAAATATTCACAGTCGACACATTAAACAAACAGGCTTAATTATTT